GTGTTGCACTTGACTGATGTCGCATTACGGAATATCCTGGTCTGACATACAGATTGTAGGAGGAACCAGGAGTTGTTGGCGGCGGCGTGTGGGTAGAGGTGCGGTTGTGTGTGTTATGTGGTCTGTCGTGGCTGTGGTATGGTCTGTGGTGTTATTAAGTTGTTGTGCTGTGGTGACTGTGTGAGGCTGCTCAGGTGGACTGAGGTTAGCCATGGAGGCTGCTCTGTTTGAGCAACAGGGTGCCACGTACGACGTGGTCCACTGTCGATGTGTCCGTAGTCCTGAGCAGACTCTAAGGTGACTCCACCCCTCGCAGGCATTACACTTGACTGAGGTGGAGTTGTGGTGTAGTCGTCTCTGGCATACACAGCAGGTGTAGATTTCTGGCCCTGGGTTTGACTCGATGCCAGCCCTGAGTAGAAGAATACGTAGTGAATGTAGCCCTATGGACGAGCAACTTCTGATATATTTCGCCGACCTAAACGGGGTTAGATCGCCGAAACAACAGCCCTTGGTCGGGTAAAACCCGAGTCATTCCGGTACGTAGAACCGGCTGTCGTGGGAATGTTTTTGGTTTTCGTTGTTTCCTTTGCTTTGTTTACTTTTCGCTCGTTTTTCAGTGAAACAAGATGGCGTAGAACCCGCTAAAAAAATCGACTTTTTTCACTCTCTTGTTCCTACGTGATCTTGTGTTCTTCGTTCATGCTTTTAGTAGAAAATGGACACGTGGGGCTACGGTGTTCGCATGAGGCGATTTTACAGGCAACGACATAAATGTAGAATACCTACAATTCTCAAATTAAAAAAATTCATATTGGGATCGTTGGAGATCATTGAGGTGAGCGAAACGATATATATATATTTTTTGGGAAACAACAACTACAACAATTATTAAAGGTCCAAGTTCACATTTAACATTTTTTTCAATTTATATTTCTCGAAAACCTCTTCAAGGATTTGGAAAACTTTGATGTCATTTGATAATTCTCTTTAATTTGATATAC